ACTGTAAGCAAGCACAGTTCAGGGCTGGGAGTCTTTTCTATGTCCTGTTGTGTTAATTTTGGTCTCCCATCAGCATTTCTCATTGTCACAGTGTTGTGTTATTTCAGCGGCAGGCCATATGGCTGACATTCCAGGATCTTTCCGGGCTTGTGTGCTGAGCTAGTGCTGAGAGAGCACTTTGTCCTGCAATCCGATAAAGCAGCTGATCCAATGCCCAGGGAGTCACCAGCAGTCTTTCCACTCATTTTGTTGGGCTTTGGGTCAGGCTGAAACTTCTTGTCCCAGAGATGACTCATGCAACTGTATTACCCATCGCTCCCTACCCCCTCCCCCCCAAAATGAAGACCGTGGACACACTGATCTCCTTGTGTCCTGCACTTTGTATTCTCATCCACTGAAGGAGATTCTCGTCCACTCTCTCGCCCTAGTTTCCTGGCACTGCCTTCCTCCCAGGAAAATGAAGCATTGCATTCTGGGAAGGTCCAAGATGTTCCCTGAGCTGTCCCTCTGGATCAACCTCCAAGAAGTGGAGTCCCTGGGGAAGGCAGGCTACAGCACTAGAGCACTGAATTGGATCTGGCTTACTTTGAAGCAACTCTGCTATTAATTATAGACCCACCACTCCTCCTCAGAGGCACAACCACTGCTTCTGTGCTTCCCGCTAATTAGAGGAAATTGGGAGGAGCTGTTATGTAATTACCCAGGGGACATGGCTTCCCTACTGGCAGCGTGATGATGATCCTGCATTCCCTCTACTGGTTTCAAAGTGTGTGTAGGGCACAGGCAACTGGTGCCTGTGGGGAGAGGGGGATGCAGGGAGGGTCACCCAGAGGACAGGAAGGGAGCATGAGGAGAAACCCATTTATCAATTAAAATTTTGGCAGGGACAGCTGGGGGGGGAGGGGTGTTGCACCTCCCTAGTGCTGTGTTGCCTACGATGAGGTGACCAGAATAAGGGTCACAAGACTGGGTCTCAGGATTGTGCTTCTGTCAGTGCTATATGTACTGGCATTTTCAGCACAGTATTGGTTTTCCTGACCGTCAGCAATGGCAAGGAAACAGAAAATCTTTTCTGTGAACGTTTTTGTTGATTTTCCACACTCCTCCATTTTTCCTCAAAAAATTCCTGCCAGTCCTTCACTTCAGGCCCTCCTTCTGGGTCTGGACACCCACAGAACCCATTGCCTTCAGAGATGGTGACGGGCACTTGGCACCCGGCTTATAGTTTCTGTTATAATGGGATGGTAGTTCCACCACAGCTGAGAGTGGCTTATGGCTTAACAGCTGACTTCTAAGTGCTCTAATAAGCCACATGCTAACTCAGATTGCACTGAAATGTGCTGTGGCTCAGAGTATTTTATCATATAGGGTCATTGGAGCAAAGGGATCCTGAGGCACCTCTGCCCCCCAAAATCATATCAACATTTTACAGTTATGTCTTATTCTGCACACCTGGGGCTCACACTGTTGCAGTCTTCCACCACCATTTTACATCAGCTGGTGTCCAGCATCCCACAGCCCTTCTGGGGAAGCAAGACACATTGGCTACGTCTACACTGCAGGCTTTTTGCAAAAACTTGCCAGGTGTCTACACTGCACGTTGCATTCTTGTGCAAGTAAATTTACAGTACAGCATCGGAAAACAGGGCTTCTTCTGGAAGAGTTATTCCTCTCCCCACGAGGAATAAGCCCTCTTGCACAAGAGCTCTTCAACAAGAAGGCAGTGTAGACAGGCAACATGATTTTCTTGCGCAAGAAACCCCCATGGCTAAAATAGCCATTAGAGCTTTCTTGCGCAAGAGAGCGTCCACACTGCCATGGATGCTCTTGCACAAAAGCACAAGGCAGTGTGGACACGCTCTTGTGGAAGACCTTTTGCACAAGAACTCTTGCGCAAAACAGTTCTTACACCAGAAGCCTGCAGTGTAGACGTAGAGATTATGTCTGGGCAGAGATGCAAACTACAAGGAAGCTGTGGAGAACATTCACAGCTCTTTGGACTTAAGAACCATGAGTCTGAATCTTTCTCTTGGAAGATTTGCATACTGTGCACAGCCTGCTGTTGCTTGGTGACTGGGGCCACAATGGGGTTCTCCTTGGAAGTCGGGAGTGCTGTGCATCATTTTGAGGCAAGTCAGCATCCCACAGCAGTACCCGCAAGTCCAACTATCTGTGAAAGTCCCGCCCTGGTCTCATTTGGGCAGCTCAGCATGTGGAAGATGAAGCCTGGTATGGTGAGGTGAGGCTGGGCTGATCTGGGAGAAAGTAGGCGCCACATAAAAATGATGTTAGCAGGCTGGTGCAAGAATCCCAGCCAGGAGGAATCAGCTCTCTGATAGTAGCAGCTTTCAGCATGATGGACTGGAGCTGGATGAGGCCTGCTGACACACACATCAGGGATACACCAGGGGACAGAGCACTACAGGGAGGGGTGGGGGAACAGGCATACCCAGTGGCTACGTCTACACTGGCCCCTTCTTCGGAAGGGGCATGCTAATTTTGAAAGTGGGAATAGGGAAATCCGCGGGATATTTAAATCCCCCGCGGATTTAAATAAACATGTCCGCCGCTTTTTTTCCGGCTTGGGGAAAAGCCGAAAAAAAGCATCTAGACTGGCCCGATCCTCCGGAATAAAGCCCTATTCCGGAGGATCTCTTATTCCTAAATAGGGCTTTATTCCGGAGGATCGGGCCAGTCTAGACGCTTTTTTCCGGCTTTTCCCCAAGCCGGAAAAAAAGCGGCGGCCATGTTTATTTAAATCCCGCGGGGGATATTTAAATCCCCCGCGGATTTCCCTATTCCCACTTTCAACATTAGCATGCCCCTTCCGAAGAAGGGGCCAGTGTAGACGTAGCCACTGTGTGGGACAGGCACTTAAGACCTGTCTACATCTGGAAGCTAATTTAGATTAAAGGAAGGAAGGAATTTAATATCTATTCTGGAATAAATTTATGTGTAGATAAACAATGAGGTAGGAAGATGGGGATGAAAACATCCATTAAAATAAATGCTGCCATTCATTTTCTTCAGAATTGGGGGTCTGGACCCTTTGGGAGTCACGTTATTACATGGGGAGGGAGATTGTGAGCTGCCCACCTCCACTACAAAGCCTGCTTTGCCTCCAGCATTTATAGTGGTGTGAAATGTATAAAAAAGTGTTTTTAATTTATTGGGGGGGGATGGAGAAAGGATGGAGAACCTCAGGACTGGGGTCCAGATGTGACCCCCGGCTTGCCTGGGATCCTGTGACCGAGGCTCAGGGCCCTCCCCCAGCATTGGGGAGTCTGTGGTGGTGCTTCAGCCCCCCCTGCTGTCCGCAATGGGGTTAGAGCATACAAACCCTACTAGGCTGGGACCCCCAGGCTCTGGTGTGTGAGGGGAATGAGAGGAGTGTCTGTCTCCTCAGTTAGGGACCCCATCAGTGAGGGGTTGTTGTTTGTTTGTTTGTTGTTCTCACTTATGTGCAGCTCCCTGAATGATTTTTATGTGGGACAGGGCCCCCTTCACCCAAAAAAGGTTCCTCACCTCACCATACATGAAAGGGGTCACCACTATAAAAACCACCACCAGGCTTCATTCCAGGAAAGCACTCTTTTAACTGACATCGTGGTGAGATAAATGGTCCATTTCACACCTCTGCCTCCAAACCTCCAGGTAGATGTGCATCCCCCTTCTGGCCTTTCTCATTCCTGAGGCCCAGATCTGGGGTAGGAATTCTAGGTCACCTCTCTCCAACTTGCACCCAGGGGCTCTTCTGTGCAATGCCAGCACCGCTGCAATTTTACCAGGCTCATGGAGAGCCTAGGGGGAGATGGGATTCGGTAGCAGAGTGACGCAGAGGGGTGCTGAGGTGCACAATAGGGAACTGAGCAGTGGTGGTGAAGCAAAGTCAGCATTTGTCAGATGCTGATGGTCCAATGTTTCCTGAGCTACAGCCCCACCAATATGAGATGCTCCAGAATGTCATAGAATACATGTGCCTGGACATACTAGCATGTTGCAGCAGAGTGTGGGATTTGTGGTAAAAATTTGAGCTTTTGAAAAGGGGATCCCAATATATCCACCCCCCCAAATGAGCAGTTTTCAGAATGCTCTAACATCCATGTGTACAGGATGATTATTTTGAACCTTAATATGACACAATAAGGCCAGGATATACAACATGGTGCAAATTTGGGGTAATTTGGTTAAAGGATTCCTCAGATACAGCCCCAACTCACTAATATCTAATTTACTCTAAAATCCATAGGCAGAGGAGAAGGGTGGCAGCCATAAAACTTGTGTTGGATCATAGGAGATGAATATGGTGGTTCAAGTCACCCACAGCTGATGCATCATTTCCACAAGGTACTGAGAGCATGCCATCGAGATGAGTGGGGAGAATCAAGCCACCACATTCCTTCCGTGCTGTTGAGTGCAGGGCACAGCCCATTTATCCTTCATTAGTCTTTAAAGTGGATGGAGTCATGGGTTTCTCCCCCCTCCACCCCCTTCCCTCCAGCTGGGACCTGCGCTCCTTCAGGTGTGACTTTCCCTGCTCCCCATGTCCCTCCAGCTGAGGTAAGGATTAGTCACAGCAAGGACCCTCCTTAGAGGGCCATGTGTGTGATTCCACATGTGGTCAGCTACCTGATGATGTGCAAGAAAACTGGGGCTGGAGCAAAAGAAGAGGAGGCCCAGCTACAGACAGCAAAAGCAACAACTACGCACCAAAAAATTCTTTGTTCATTAGCAATGTGCGCGCGCGCGCGCACACACACACACACACGACTCACCCCATGAAACAAAAACAACTCTCAGCATTATCCTGTTTGCCCACAATACACCTGCCCTCCAATACCCTGTTTGCCCAGAACACACACCCCCTGTTCAAAACCTACTTATTCCCACCCAGACAAACCACTCCAGAATGTACATACCACATTCCATGACCCCACCCCAGCACCCACCAGGCCACAAAAACACAGGCACCAGCCCAAAACCCTTCATCCCCGCCCGCACATCCACACACCCCTCATCTCACAGTCCTCAAAACACACAAACCTCATCACAATATCCAGGTACCACGCCAGACCCCTCCACAACACACACGCACACATTAGGGTGCCTCGCTAGGTTTCCTCCGGCCAGGGAGTGGGTCTCTTGTCATCACTCTGGCCCGAAGGCCACCGCAGCCCCAGCAAGCCCCATGTTCCATCCAGCTGCGCGTTCCACAGCTGTGCGCCCTGCGGGCAGCCCCTGGAGAGCTGAGCCGGCGCAGGACCCCAGGAGCCAGCCGCGGCCGCTGACGCTAGAGCCCAGCGGGAACTCCTCCCCCGCGCGGATTCCTCTCTGCATGGCTCCGCCCGCTGGGAGGGCGGCGCAGCCTTCCCGCCACGGCCATTAGCTGGTGCCGCAGCCTCCCGCCCCCTGCAGCTGGCGGGGGATTGGCTGCTCCGGCCTCACAGCTGACAAGCCGGAGCCCCGCCCCTGCCAGGCCCACGGCAGATATAACACTCCCGGCGGCCGCTGCTCCTCAGGTGCAGGTGGCGGCTGGGGGAGCAGCGCCGTGGGACGGGAGGCGAGTCCATTGCCGCGGTGGGAGCCCGGCGGAGAGCGCAGTATCATGTGATCGGGAAGCGGGCCGGGGCCGCCAGTGGTTCTCCTTCCCCCAGCTCGCCCCGTCTGCGCTCGGCCGCCGCCCGGGTTCTCCGCTCGCCTCGCCAGCTCGCTCCTCTCGGGGGCGCGGGGAGGCGATGTTCCCCCTGGACGCCCCGTGGAGTATCTCCTTCGCGGGCTGCGGCTTCCTGGGGGTGTACCACATCGAAAATTGTTGCTGCCTGCAGGAGCATGCCCCCTTCCTGGTGGCCAATGCCAAGACGATCTACGGAGCCTCCGCCGGAGCCCTGACTGCCACGGCCCTGGTCACCGGAGCCTGCTTGGGTGAGGCGTTCGTAGCTTTCCCTGGCGGGGGTGATAGTGGGGGAGTTAAAAAGCCTGTCTCTGCTGCGACCGCAGGGCAGATCCGTCCTGGTGCATTCCTAGCGGGGGGTCTGCCCGGGGTGATGACGCGCGCACGTGTGTGTGTGTCATAAAGGGGTGTGTGTGATGGTGGAAGAGGGGACGTTCATAATAGTGCCCTAGATTCTGGCTAGATGGGAGGTGGGCCATGGGAGGAGCAAGTTTGAAGTCTGCAGGACATGGGAAGGCAGATAAGGGAGCGTCTCTGTTCACAAGAACAAAACAATGCATTCGAGCATGCAAAACATTTTGCCCCCAGGTGATCCCTTCTGCTGCTGTTCTGTGCTGTGTGTACCAGTTGTGGTGTGCCTTAGCTTTTACTGTGTGGAAGCTCTTTGACACAGGGACTGATGGTCTCTCTTTTGGTTTGTCTTCATGGGGGGGAAATGGACAGGGATAAGGGGAAATGGACAGGGATAAGTTATTTGAGAACAACCCCCGCCCCTCACCTCCCCCACTTCATTCTGAAATATAAGTGACTCTGTTCTGGAATAGAATGCCTACACGGGATCTCTTTCTTAAATTTTATGTATTTCCCCTATAGAGAGCTAGTCTATTTGTCTCCAAAATACCACTTTACCCTCAGCTGGTTTCTTTTTATACAAAACCATGCAGGAACACTGAGCACAGACTCAAACTAAGAGGGACGTTCAATCTGAAAGAGAAAGTGAAAACAGGTGTTTAGTTTTCTTGTTTATAGCTGTGTGCATGTGGCCAGAGTGCAATGAAGCGCGTGCCCCCCCCCCCCACTTCTCTGTGTAAGTGTTCACTATGAGCCTGATATAGCCTGTTAAAACTCAGTGAAGGATTCCTAATGAATACATTGGGCCTGTAGTCCCTGTAAATCTGTAGTGTAGTTGATGTGTATTTTCAGAGCATGTCTTGCAATTAGAACTGTTTCACGTTTTATCAATGCATTGCTAATATGTAACTTCAGCTTAGATTTAAAGGTACTTTTTTGTTACAATATCACAGTAGGTGGGATCTGCTGTATATTCATGGTATTGAAATAGTATGATAGTGATAAAGACTGATCAAAGCTAATTAATATAGAAAATTAAGGATGGCAATTTTTGCCTGCATTATTGTAGGACCACAAGAGTTAAGATTTAAGTATGCTGAACTTACAGAAGTTAAGACATCTTCTCATTGCTCTGTCACTTCCTTCCCATTGTGTGGGGACATAAACATACAGCAGCAGATGAGTTCTTGATGGTTTTGCACTGGAAGCAGAAAAGTGGGGACAGGCAGCATATTATGTGGGTATAAGTTTTGCCACCCCCCACTGATTACCTGTGTCTCCAAGAAACTAGGAAATCTCTTTAAATAGCAAGGCTGAAAATAAGGGTGGTAGCTAATCACCTTTCTAAACATTCTACACCTTGTCAGACTTGCTCTTCAATTAAAATGTTTCATCTGGAACTTGAAAGGGACATTACAGAATACCTCCTGCATAGGTGCATAAGTCAGCAATCTGGGTTTTGTTGTCCATGGTGTACACTAAGTAAAATCACAGGGGGCCTTGTGGCTGCTCATTCCTCATCTGCTTATGAGACCCTATAACACAAGACTTCAGTGAGGCCATAGATGGAATGTCCAGCAGGAGACTTCAGTTGGTGGGCTGGACTGCAAGATCTGTATAGCTAAGAAATGCCATTGTATACAACATGCAGCAATAACATGTATTTTAAAATGTTATATCTAGTTTGTGTGTAATTCAGAAGGGGTTTACAATGGCTCACAAGCATCTACCTCTTTATACTAGGATACAACCACACTCAAAATCTGGGCACAATAAGTACTTATCCTCTCCCACTTGTTGTTCTCACCTGATTAATGGTTGTGATGTGAGACTTCTGAAAGGTCCTGTCTAGTCTTTGGGACCTGCTGTGGTTTTGGAGTGAGGGACCTGCATACAACAACCAACTTACATGGCAAGACCAAACCCTGTTTTACTTAGGTTTGGGGATTTATAGACCAGTGGCTTTCTAGATTACTGAAAAGGGTCCAGTAATCTGACTTGTGTACCCCCAAATTATAAATCCCTTATAAGCAATTAATTTTAACAGACCTCAAAAGGCAAGTGTCCTAGCACACTGTTACTAAAAATGGCTGTATTGGTATAACTGTGCCACTGCAGCGCATCTGCTGAAGGTGCCCATTGTAGAGCTCTGTTGCCCATCGTAGCACTCCATGACATAACCCTCCCCCAGCAGCAGTTTATGGTGGCTGGGGAATCTCTCCAGCTGACAGTGCTGTGCCCACATATTTGGGGGGAGAGATGGGACACTGCCCTGGGGCCTGGCAATTTAAAGGGCCTGAAGCAGCTTTGGCTGGAACTCTGGGCCCTCTAAATTGCTGCTGGAGCCCTGGGAGATGCACTTCAGGTGGCAGGGTTGGGGGGGGGGGGAGCGGTGGAGGAGGCTAGGCCCTGCCTCTTCCAGAAGCATGAAGTCAGGCCCCCACAGCTTGCCCAAGGGCCTGGCAATTCTGTTGGTGCCTCATGTGGACACATACTTATGTTGATATCACTTAGGGGTGGTTTAGTTTAGGGATGTGGAATTGTAATTGTGTGAACAGTCAGCTGGTGAACCTTGGTTCATCAGTTAATGTTCATGGTGAAACTTTCAGAAGTTATGTCCTTAATTACATGCATTTTTAACATCCCCAGTTCAGTTGCATGCTGACCTAGGCTCTAGGGTATATCTAGCCTTAGCTCCCACTTAGAGAATCCCATCGCCTCTCTGTTCTGTGGGAGAATTATGGGTAAACGAGACTTGGTGCCAGGAATTTCCCAAGTTCTGCTTCTGGCTCTGACACCGATTCCCTTTGTAGCCTCAGTCACTTTCCTTGTCTACCTCTATTACTCTTGGTAGTCTGATAGCATGCAATATAGCAGGTGCTGTCCACAAACCTAGTCCCTGGCCCCAAAGAACTCCCAATCAAAGAACCAGGGACTTCTGTAATCTAGGATTTACTATTAATTTACCTATATGGTGGGATAAGTGCTAAAGAGAAGCCTCAAACCAAATCCTTATTGGGTATCAATTAAGTACCTCAAGCCAAACCCTTCTGTGCTTGAAATCTGGTTTGAGCTTGGCATCTCAGTCTATTTATGGAGCTGCGTGTGGAGGAGCTCTGTATGTAGCAGGCACCTGTCACTTCCTGTTAATGGGAGGGCAGAAGAGTCAAGGAGACTGTTGTTTTGCCACTGAAGGTAAAAGTGGCCTTGCTGTCCAGGTTGGGCTTGTCATATGATCCCTGCTGTAAACAGGTTTGACTCTGAACTCTAGACTGCAGTACAGGGGTTTGGCCTGAGGAGTGACTCACTAATAGGAAGGGACACATGTTGCAGATTCCTGCACTTGTCAGCAAAACCGCCTGTTCCAGCAAAACTTATTGGTGGCTTCATGACCAAGGCAAGCAGCTGTATGGTAGGTGCTGCAGGGTGAGGGCTGCTCAGGCTTCTCATGCTAACTGGCAGCTGCCCTTTGGTGCCTGCTGGCCATCAAATGAGAACACTAGGGTATCTTTGACAAGCAGTGGAGTGCTTCAGAGAAGCCTGGCTTGTTAGCCTCCATTATATCTGCAGGCAATGGGACATCTGGCCTCTGAAGTAAACCAGACTGCATTCTGCCGTGTTCTGCGCTTCCTAGATAGGGGTGAAGTTCTTGTGTGTCCATCTTCTACCTGATTTTCATTCTTTGAAAGGTCTTAAAGTTGGCAAGATAAATCTTTCCACCAACTTCATGGGGCTTTGAAAGCCCCAAGTTCCTTAGAGCTGTTCTCAGATTTTTTTTTCTCATGGCCCAGTTGAAGAAAATTGTTGATGCCTGTAACCCCACATAGTTTGACTGTGTGGGGTCTGAGGATCAGAGCTGAGAGGGCTCCAGCTTTGGAGGGGGTGGGGCAGAGGCAGGAGAGGCTCGTCTTGAGTTGTTCCAGGACAGCAGTTCAGTGAGGGCACTCTCCTGGCACTGCAGGCTGTGTTGTGCCCTAGAAGCAGCTGGCAGCAGGTTCCCAGTCAGTGGGTGTGCAGAGCTAGTGCTCAGGGCAGGAACAGCGTGCAGAACCCTGTGTGCGCCCCACCTAAGAGCTGGGCCTGCTGCCGGCCACTTCTGGGGCACAGATGAATCTTGGCACCCCCACTGATTGCCGTGCAGCAACTAGTGCCTGACATTCCACAACCCAGTACTGGGTCGCAACCTGTAGTTTGTGTCCCTGCTTTAGTCAGGCTTCTATTTAGTAGCAACATCTTGCCAGTCAGAATGGAATCCCTACAGCAATGTTCCTCTAATGCTTTCCATGAATGCACAGAATATATTTTTGTGTACCAAGGCATGTGCAGATGTACCCCACCAATAGAAGCACATGCTGCTGGCTGTGGGTGCTCTGCTAGTCAGCTGGGCAGCATTTGAATCTCTCCTGGGCAGCTGCCAAAGTGCTCAGCTGTCAGGGAGAACTGCATGCAGTTGTCATGGCCTCTGCCTCCAGTTTGTCATGGAGCTGGCTCTCCATCCTCCCGAAAATAGGAGCAACTCATTTGTGTGGTGATGGACACAGGGCCTCATGGTGGGTGCCATACAGACAGTCCCCTAACCAAAGAACTTAGTTTTAAATGGGGTGAGATGCCCCAGGTGAGTGCAACACAACAGCAATAGCAGAAGGAGCACAGTTGTGTATGTGTGGGCTTCCATGGTTGTTTGGAAACTAATGTGAACAAGAAGTTATAATTAATCATAATGGACCCTTGCCTAGCTGTTAGGTGGTCTACCTTCCAGGGGCACCATACTGCATTATGGGCATCTTGGCTTGTCCAGAGGGGAGCTGCATTGGTAGGATCTGGCTTGCATTTAAAGTACAGCCCTTCTCCGGTATGATGCTGGTACTCTTGGGCTATGTCTACACTCGCAGCTTCTTGC